GGGGGGGGGGGAGGCAGAAAGAAAGACAGACAGACAAGACAGTCCATAGGCCGGGCATCATGGTGGTGCATGCCTATAACTCCAGCACTCTGAGAGCCTGAGGCAGGAGGATTACAAGTTCAAGCCTAGCCTGGGCAGTTTAGTGACTTAGACCCTGTGTCAAAAAAAGAGGACTGGTAATGTAGCTCAGTGGTAGAGTGCCACTGGGTTCCATCCCCAGTACAGCCAAAAAGGAGGGGGGTAGGCAATTGACATCATGGAGGGCCTCTTACATCCCAGTCATAACGTTTTTTTTTTCCCCACAATGTGGGTTTTTCTTTCCGGATTATAGATTCTCCTTGATACACCTGGCATCATCAGTCCTGCTAAACAGAAAAGGTAATGGCTGTGGAAACAGGTGGGAGCAGGAAAGGTATTGAAGAAGAGATGGGGAGATTCCATCATGGGGCCTGTGAAACCATTTACCACAGCCTATCCACCATCAAGAATGTATCAGTTAGGGCCAGGGATTTAGCTCAGTGGTACCAAAAAAAAAAAAAAGAATGTATCAGTCACAGCCAGGTGTGATGGCGCACTCCTTTAATCCCAGCACTTGGAAGGCTGAGGCAGGAGGATTGCCATGAGTTTGAGGCCAGCCTAAACTACAAAGCAAGACCCCGTCTCAAAAAATCAAACAAATAAAGAATGTATCAGTCATAAGACCCTTAATGATTGCTATGTGTCTGTCTCTCAGGCACCATCTGGAGCTCTCTTTGTTGGAGGATCCTTGGAAGAGCATGGAATCTGCTGATCTTGGTTAGGCTCAGAATCAGAATGGGAATCTGAAGTCCAATTTACAGGGGTCATAGCCTTTCATTCCTGGTAAGTTTTTATGAGACAGGAGGAAGAATGGTCATATCCTTTTTTTTCTGCCTGCTCTACCATCTTTCAGTTATAGTTCTTGTGGATGTCTCAGACAAGTGGACTCGGAATCAGATCAGCCCACAGGTGCTCCAGTGCTTGACCCAGTTCTCCCAGGTCCCCAGCATTCTTGTCTTGAACAAAGTAAGCACTGTTCACCTGAAGAAGGGGTCTGCTGGGCCGGGGATTTAGCTCAGTGGTTTCGCCACCTGCTGCGCAAACGCAAAGACCCGAGTTTGATCCCGGTACCAAAAAAAAAAAAGAAGGGGTCTGCTTCCCTCCAAGGTCCCCATCTCACTGACCACACACTTTGCCTGCCCAGGTGGATTGCCTAAAGCAGAAGGCGGTTCTCCTGGAGCTCACAGCAGCCCTCACTGAAGGTGTGGTCAATGGCAAGAAGCTTAATATGAAACAGGCCTTCCACTCACACGGTGGCACCCATTGCCCTAGCCCAGCAGCTAAGAACCCAAACACACAGTCTGTAAGAAACCCTCAAAGGATTGGTTGGCCCCACTTCCAGGAGATCTTCATGTTGTCATCCCTAAGCCAGGAGGATGTAAAGATACTAAAGGTCAGTTACCCCTGGTCATAGCCTGGCCCTTGGTTTCTGTCATGTTAAGATAGGTCTCAGGGGTCTGGGGATTTAGCTCAGTGGTGTTGCTGCCTGCTTTTCGAGTGCAAGGTCCTGAGTTCGATTCCTGACACCAAAAAAAAAGATAGGCCTCAGACTTCTCCTAAAGGCAAGAATGAGTAGAAAAGTCCTGGTTGGGATTAGGGTGTCCACTTAGCCCTTTGTACCCACAGCAATACCTCCTGGCACAAGCCCAGCCAGGGCCCTGGGAGTTCCACAGTGGAGTCCTCACTAACCAGACACCTGAAGAGATCTGCACCAACAAAGTCCGAGAGAAGCTCCTAGAGCACCTGCCTCAGGAGATCCCCTATGGTGTTCAACAGGTGAGAGCAGAGTGAAGGGATTTGTGGGTACAAGACCCATACCCTGAATAGTACAGTTGGGTACCAGGAGGCAGAGAGATGGGACTGCCTGACTAGTCATTATGTCTCCCCAAACAGAAGACAGTAGTGTGGGAAGAAGGACCAAGTGGGGAGCTGGTAATCCAGCAGAACCTTCTGGTGCCCAAAGAATCTCATGTGGTAAGTGAGAGTAGGCTTGGAGGAGGGACAAAGGCCATGTTAGATAATGATTCTTCCCTGAGAGTAGGATCATATTCCTGTCTTTTTTTCCACTATCAGAGAACCCTGATTGGTCAGAAAGGCCAGCTGATCTCTCAGATTGCACAGGAGGTGGGTCACGATCTCATGGACATCTTCCTCTGCGATGTTCACATCCGCCTCTCTGTGAAGCTCCTCAAGTGACCACCCTCTACTGCCCCTCCCAGGACATCTTAGCGCAAGCTCCTGGAAGAAGTCACCAGAACTGCCCCTGTCTAGTGGGCCTTCAGGGCCTGGTAAAGGGAATGGACACTAACTGGCTGCTGGCTGGCCTGGCCTTGCTGAGTCTGTACAGTCCCTGCCAAGCCACATCTCTGGTTGGAGGAAAGAGCCTACTTTAGCTCAGTTCCCAGGCAGTTTCTCTGTCTGGAGCTACAACTATGTAGATCTCAGAAGGTGACCCCTACCCTCAGCTGGCATTGGGCCTAGAGTCTTGCCTTAAATTGCCAGTTACCAGGCAGTGATTTCTCTTTCCTCTGTACTTCCTTCACCTTGAAGCCCTGTAAGAACCTTCCCACAGTGCTGTGGTACCACCCCGCTCCTCCCTAAGTCCTTGACCCCTCCCACTCCATTCCTTTGCCAAGTCTCAGATGCCAATAAAGTTAAAAGACAACTGTTCTGGTTCTCATCTTTATTTCTTTAGAACAGGGGAAATGTAGCCATCCCCTCACCCCCACCCCCTCATAGAGCTAGAGTCTCCTTCCCAGGAGTCTGCTCCAGGATCCTGAGTTCTCTTCTTGGCACGGTTTCTGGGAGCAGCAAGAGAACCGTCACCATTACTAAACTCAGTAATGGTAACGGTTTCCTCACCATCCCCAAGTGCTCCAGCAGTTGGCAGGCTGTGACAGGCTTGCAGCATCCCCCTTGCACTCCTCATCAGGCTCCAGAGCTGGGGGTGCCCAGACTAGTACATCATCTATACTGTAGTGTCTCATCACAAACTTACAGTATATGATGATATCCCAGCCAGGGCCCTGCAGGAGGTCAGCAATCAGACCTGAAGAGGACTGTGGCCCAGAGTAGCCAGGGCTAGGCAAAGGCAGGGTAGGTCAGGACTGGAAACACGGAGTCCCCCTCTTCCCTCCCACACTGCTCCCTCCCAGGCCAGCATCTCCTAGACTCTTTGGTCAGGCTTTGCCCAAGTGACTTAGGGAAGAGAACTGGCCCAAAAAAGCCTCTACAGAGCTAGTGTCTTGAGGTCTCAGGGACCCAGGGCTGTAATTAAACAAGCCAGAGACACCATAAAGAAGCAAAAAGGTTTCCTCTGGTTAAAACAATAGACAGACTAACCCAGAGAGGAAGGCTTACCTGAAGCGGGAACTGCAGAGAGGAGGCCCCTGGGTGTAGGGAGGCCCTGTCTCCACTCAAGCTGCCTTTTTAACCTACTGACCCCTCCCTTGGGTGGGGCACTTTTCCCTTATGCTAGAAGGCCCTGCCTCTTTAACTCTTCCCCTGCTGGGCTTTATGGAACAAGTGTCACTGTTCTCTCTCTATTAGGTCTCTGTGTGTGTGTGTGTGTGTGTGTTGCTATTGTTGCAGTGTTGGGATCAAACCCAGGGCCTTGGACATACTAGTCAAACACTTTACTACTAAGCTACACTTCCAGCTCATGCCCATTGTTCTAAGGGCCTTGCTAACTCTAAGACCCACCCTTCAACCCATCCCCTAAAACTGGTCATCTACTGATCATGGTGGCACACACCTATAACCCAAGCATTTGTGAGGCTGAGGCAGGAGGATTGCTGCAAGTTTGAGGCCAGCCTGGGCTACATAGTGAGTTCAAGAGCAGCCTGAACTACATATTGAGACCCTTTCTCAAAAAAAGAAAAAAGCTGGTCTGTCTGTTTGGCTGGAGAGGAGAAAGAATAACCTCATCCCATCCCGCAGAGCTTAGATATGCATCAGAGCTCAGGCAGAGGGTTTGCTTTGGTTTTTTTGGTGATGGTGGGGAACATTAGATGAATCTCAATAGGGCAAGGAGGGTCCTGTCAGCTGCATCTATGTGGACTCTGTCTGGAGCAAGGTCACAGGACCCCTCAGCCTAAATTTCCATTCCCAGGTCCAGCCTGTGTTTGTACTGAGCCCAAGAAGGCCAGTCCTAGGCAGGCAAGGTTCCCTGGGTGCAGAGTACACTGCTGGGAGATTTGAGAGCAGCTGGGTCCCTAGCTCTTTCGGGAGCCAGCAACAGAGTGACAGCCTGGTCTTCAGAGCTCAAGGCTCTGAGGTTAAGAACCCTGCATTGTTCTGTTCTCTGCCTCTTGGGAAGGGGAGACTCCTAGGATAGAATTCCTCAAAGCAGGGCCTCTGTTGCTCAGATTCGGGGTTGGGGAGTACTCCCTCTCCTTTCCCTTATCCTCGATAATCTGGTCTGTTCCGATTCTCTCCAGGGGCAGACTAGACCTGGATGGGGAGTTGGAGGAGAGGCCCAACCTTTTTTTGATTCTCTGGAGGTATTCTGTTCCTTCTGCCATGGAACTGTGGCACATGTTCTCTGTTTACTATGATTTTCCCTTCTTTCTTGCATACTTAACGCTTTTTCCCTATTCAGATCTCTAAGGAAGATTTGTAGGGAAGTCTTCCCAGTCTTTTGGGGGTAGTAGGATAAGGGGTGGAGGTTGAGACAAGGTCTCTCTATGTAGCCCAGGCTGGCCTTGAACTCAAAATCCTCCTGTTTCAGCTTCCCAAATGATGAGATTACAGGCATGTGGCAGCATGCCTGACTCTTCCTAGTCTTGTCTTTTTTCTTGTCTTTCTTTCTTTCTTTCTTAGTCTTGTTTTGTGGTTCTGCTGGTTTTGAACTCATGACAATCCTGCCTCAGGCTCCTGAGTGCTGGTATTACAGCTGTGTGCCACCACACCCAGCCCATTCTTTTTTTTTTTTTTTTTGGTACTAGGGCTTGAACTCAGGTCCTTGCACTTGCACAGCAGGCAGCAAAACCACTGAGCTAAATCCCCGGCCCTCAGCCCATTCTTTCTATTTAAAGTCCCCTGTTATAGGCTTATTTATCTATAATTTTTTGGGGGGGAGGAAGTGCTGGAGATTGACTCAGGGCCTCTCATATGCTAGGCAAGTGCTCTAGCACCAAGCTACATCCCTAACCCTATTTGTGTGATTCTTCACATTACACCTGGTTTGTTTACCAAGGTACAGACTCCTTAAACATTCATCCCCAGTGATTGACATCAAGCTTAACTTTGGAAAATGGAGTCAAAGCTGTGGCCACTTTCTGTCATAGTCCCTCCCTGTTCTCATCTATAAATACCAATAACAGTAGTCCTTGGTTCAAAGAGTTGTGAGAACTAGGAAATTAGCTGCTGGTAAGTACTTTGTACAGTGATGGTGCTGGCCCACAAAAGGAGCTCAATTAAATCCTATCTGACCTCCTTTCCACAGGCACCTGAAGGCACAGGGAGGCCTTCAGCTGTTGCCTAACATCTGAAAGCCCGTAGACTAATTTCTTTTTTTTTTTTTGGT